TCTGTAGTACTTTTGTGCACAGATGTCTGTGTGGGGGTATTTCGTTAAGAAGGGCTCTTTAGCGCTTCACCTGCAAAGCCCATGAAAGACGAGAGGGCTTTCGAATTCAATGAACCTATTTATGAAATATAAAAGTTTGCTTTTAACAGTTATTAATAAAATTTCGTTGAAAAAAGAAATCCAGCTCTGCCCACAGACATCTGCTTAGATGAAAAGAGCTTCTGAATAACAAATGAGACGCATGCGGTTAAAACTGAAACATTGAAGCTAAGAAACATTCTAGTATTGTAAATATTGTCTCATTCGGATTGTATTGCTAAATTAAGTTTAAACTTAATAGAATTTGGCTTTAAATACTTGTATGCTTGTATATGTATCTAAATAAATAAATTGCAAACAAGTATAAATATACGAAACATATATTAATGGTATTTAGTAAAGAGATTAAATTTAATTTGGTGCAGCCAAGCAGTATGTCGTTAATGTGACCATTAAAGACTCTTTAAACTTTTAATGGCTTAAAAAAAGAAGCTATAATACTCGTTTATGACTGTATTTTGAGAGCCTATTTTTATACAAAATTTAAAAGCAGTTTCGCTTTTTACATGGTCCCAAAGATCCAAAGCGAATTTACGATTTTTTTGTGGTAATAGCGATTGAGATACTTAAAAATTAAATGTAAGATAACAAAAATTGTGCCATTCGATTTGGCTTATAGTCGGTATTTATTAATCCGTAGAACTTCAAATTAACCGCCAGAATAGCAGAAAGAGCGAGATCATCACAATAGGTAGGACCATACTCCACCTCAAAAGACGTCAACTGAAATTTGTTTGAAATTTTTTTTCAGACTTGAACTGATACTGGATATACCCATTGCTTACTTAGCTTTTGAAATAATTGGATAGGTTTGATTTCGACTTCTGCTGTTCAGTGTATTTGCTTCACTCTGCTTGTGACTGACATCCTTAGACTCCTTAAATTTGTGTGCAATTTTTAGCCACTTTGTTGCGTAAAACATATAAAAATAGTAAGTGCTGCCAAAAATAGCCATAAAAACCCTTTGTATTTGTGAGAATATATTAATATTTTTTTACAACGTTTTTGTATTTAAGAACAGTGGTATCCACTTTATATTAAACTGAAATTTAGAGCATGTTGGAAGCATATTACAAGTACACATTACGTACTAGCCTGAGTAAAGAAATATATTAAGTCTCTATACTTTAAAACGTTTAAAGAATCTGGCTCTTGTTTTGACTTATATGAATACTTTACAGCCGAATCATCATCTTATAAATCGTCTTTCAATTGCAATGAACAGGGTGTCCTATTTAAGTGGCGAGGAGTGTACTGTACTTATTAAAGATATGTAAACCATATCCAACATTGATATAATCAATGATTCTTTCGAACATTATGCATTCGCCAGTGATTTAGCAGATCCACATAGATAAGTGCATAGAAGTTCTTTGACAATTTATATTTACATTATTTCTTTTTTGTAACACAATTGCATTTCGATTTTTTTTTTTATAAATTGTCAGGATATTTGGTAGATGAATTCGCCATTCCACCCATTTCATTTTCTCCTTTTGTCCGACGTTTGTGTGTATGTATGAGTACAGAGAAGAAATAAATATAAAAAACTGTAAAATATGGAAACGCGAAAATATCAAGAAAAAAAATTAATGTGTGTATGCGTGAATGCCCTGAAAAAAATGTGAAAAATTATGAAAATATTAAAATGTCGAGAATGAAGCATAAAGCGGCCTGGCAAATGAAAATAAAAACAGGAAAAGAAACACAAGCTTCGGCGAGTCGAAGCTAAAATACCCTTCAAAGTAAACATTGTGTTGGTTGTTCGTCATGTCAAAAATATATATACAAGTAGATAGACATTGCATTGAACAGGAAGATGGGCTTAATATTGGTTTCCAAGGCAGCTATATTGTGAACAATTGCCCCAATATTGGTCAATTTGGCTCTGTTTTGGGGTTGATATGACAAGCTAGGTTTTTTATATTTCAATTGTCCATCAACTACTTGTACATATATGAACTATTGTTCTGATTATAAGTTATTATATGATTTACCACGTTATGAGAAGATGTTGCTACAACAAAAGTTTCAAAACCTGGAGAGTTGGTTAACAAACATTAGTCTTAAGTAACAACTGCCTTTGGAAGTGTATAAAAATAAAATGAGGACGAAATGTTATTTTATTTTTTGTGCTGCCGTGCCTCTTTGCTGGTGTGGAGCGCCAAGTCAGGCGATGACTCCAAATACCCCCCGTCCCCCACTAACCCTCTCTTGCGTCGTACAACTACAGTTACGGGCAGGAGCATCACAATTGTCAGCGCCTCTTCATTGCCAGATTTGGTTTCAGTTTTCAGTTTCGTATCATGCTGTGACCCCGACATGGCCCAGCAAATTTAATATACATACAATTATACATATATACAAGTATAAAGCATACATATAGCATATGCACAATATTTATTGAGCCAGCTTGATTGGGTGACTGGCGAATCTGTCACACACATGTTCATTCCGCGTATAAACACACGTGTTGGTTGTTTATTTAACAATATACAAGTACAATATTTATGGGAACGTCATTTGCATATAATTATTTGTTTTTTATTTATTATAATGCTAGCAGTCAGCCCTCAATACTAGCTTCAAGTCGAAATAGAAATCGTTTTAAGGTCCAGAACATACATATTGATTTGCGGGGAACCAATCAGGAATTATACATATGTATTTATACTATGCACCTGAAGGGCGAAAGGGATTATTTTAGTTACCTTCAGTATCTTAAACCCCTTCTTATAAATTTATCACTTAAATAACAGCCTTTATACAAGTCAAAGGGAAGTTACCAATAGTGAATAATAGCAAGACAATGGTCTAAATAAAAAATATGACTGACTCAATCGTAAATATTTTAATTCGCTTCTATGCATGAGACCACACAATACGATATTTCTGCTCAATTTTGACAGCTTTGAGGAATTTAGGGATATAGTCTCTTTTAATATTAGATCAGCATAGCTATTCTATTTTTTTATAGTTTCGATAAATTGTTTATTTATGTATTTGCATATTTTGGGTGAAAAAGGATTACTATCGGGTGGTATGAGAAAAATTGTTCATTATTTTCGATAAACTATTTATTCGTTGCTTAAGCAGTGTTTTTTTTTTTCAATAATAATAAATGAATTCGATCAACTGTGAATACATTTTTATGTAGGCCTTCTAGTATGAACATTTATTTAAAATATGATTAAAAACTCTTTGTATAGGGTGATTCTGAGCTTCAAACTTGCAGTAAAGTGTACATTTAATTAGCGTAAGTGCATTTGTTTGTATCAAAGCAATCACAATATGTTCCTACGTTATTTAATTCCATTTATTGTTTGGGCTGCATACCGTCGAAACATAAAAATCCCAGGAAGAAAGCATTAGAACCGTATACAGAAAGTTTTTCAAACTGATGTTTTCTTAGTCTTTTTATTGATTCAAAATAAGGGGTTCTTAAAATCTTTGAATTTCTAACAAGTTCACAGCAATACTACAAACACCTAGCTGTCGCTAAACGCTCTTTTTTTTTAATGCGAACTCGCTCTAACGCGATTACAAAATTGCTACATTTCCTCTTTTAACACGGTGAAAAACCTCGTTCTTACGCGATTGACAAAATCGATTATCTATTTTCTCAATTACTGCATGACTATTTTGGTGTATAGTATGTATCACCACACATGAAATGTGTGTAGAAAAGGGGAAGTCCCACTTTCTACACCATCAGAGTAAGAATGAGTGCATACTTGTATGTCCATACATAAATAGTTGCTAAGGTGAGCAAAACATTATTTCTTCAGACGCGCACATAGTAAGATTAAAATTCATGTGACAAGTGAAATGGTTTAATTATTAAATGAAATAAAATGGTAAAAAGTAAATTATACAAATTGCAGTTTCTACAATGGCAGCAAAAGAAAATAAACCCTATAAGGAGTGCCGCTATAAAGGTTTAAGAGCCACTGAGTCGAAAATTAGTGATTTTTTGCGACGCTAGGGGAGGATTATAAATGCAACCAAATGAATTTCCATTTTATTTTAATACATACTTATGTGTTATGTTTTTACTTTTGAAAACATTTGCCATTTGAATAAGCCTTTCTATGTTTGTGAAACTAATAAATTTAAACATTAACAAGAGAGAACGTTACAGTCGAGCAAGCCCGACAGTGAAATACCCTGTACCCAGGTAAACTTCCGACACTGAGGTATATGCGCCTCTAGCAGAAGCTAAAGGAAGAAGAAGCGCGACCTTGATGCTGCAGCTTGTGGGCGTAGTACCGGAGTGAAATTGTTTCGCTAATAACTTTTCTTAGCATTAACCGATTTTGATGAAATTTGAAACAAAAGTAGATGAGTATGTATAAATTATGTGTGCAATTTGCCTAAGATAGCATTTGAAATGTGGACAGTATTAGCGAAATTCTATAGCGGGGAGAGGGGAGGGGGAAAATCAAAAAAATAAAATAAACTCGTATAGACTAGGGACTAGGTGCGTCTGCATATCAAGTTTGGTTTATGTACGCTCAGCCGTTTCCGAAATCCAGGCGTTCATCCAGACAGACGGACGGACGGACATGTCTAGATCGATTTCTCTCGTCATGCTGATTCAGAATGTACATATGTATATACTTTATGGGGTCGGAGATGCTTCCTTCTGCCTGTTCCATACTTTGCACAAACCTAATATAGCCTTTTTACCCTACGGGTACAGGGTATACAAAATTTGTGTAGGGAACATAACCCCTCATTTTGTATGGAAGCACATGGCTCGTTTAACGCGATTTCGCTTAACACGACGTTTTCAAGGAACGTAACCGCCGCGTTAAGCGAGGGCTAGGTGTACTATAAGATTAGAGGACATGAAAAGGCCAGAATATAATGAAGGGCATATTCGTTTTTGTGCTTTGCAGATAACTCTTCGGAAGACAACACAATGCTACCACAGCAGTATTGTCTGCGCTGGAAATACCATCACAGCAATCTGCAGACGATGTTTTCGCAGCTTCTGGATCGGGGCTGCTTCTGCGATGTAACCTTGGCCTGTGAGGGTCAACTGATACGCGCCCATCGCGTCGTTCTTTGCGCCTGCAGCACCTTCTTTGACTCGGTGCTCTCAAATTATGCCAGCGAGCGCGATCCGATAATCATAATGAAGGACGTGACATTCGCAGAGGTCAAGTGCCTCATTGAGTTTATGTACAAGGGCGAAATTAATGTGGAGCACGTGAGTACAACCTTAGAATTGCATCCGGTTCTATATTCAGGCAATACGTCATTTGTATTTCAGGCCAGCTTGCCCTCGCTACTGAAGACTGCCGATGATCTCAAAATCAAGGGGCTGGCCGAGGTGTCATGGCGCGACGACGACGATGGTCCACCACTTCCAATGGCCGCAGCCGAGTTCCACTCACCGCATCGCAGCTTGGCTGAAAGCTATGCCCAAGAAATGTTGCATCAACAGGCACAGCAGTCCACAATGCAGTCGCATCGCCATCGTTGCACATCCTCGCCCGAGCACGAACGCCACTCGCCGACAATGGACAGTGTGCTGGGCCTGAGCACCCGTATGCCCACACTCACGCCCATTCCGAGCGCCAGTGCCACTCTGGAGGGTGGCGGCGCACCCGTCGAGCACTACATGGGGCCGAAGCGTAAACGTGGACGTCCCCCGCTAGATGATGCCTACGATGTTTTCAATGTGTGAGTGTTTCTGTTTGTTTGTGTTTGTTTGATGCAAGTAATGCTGCGGACGTTGAAAGCATCTACATTAGGGCTTGATTTGATTTTGTCCTTTGCCTATGCAGAGGACAGTTAATTGCCAATTTAATGCATCTACTATATACTGTAAAACTAATTCAAATGGGGAGCTCATTGAACATTGTTACTCGTAGTTCCCTTTGAGCTAATAATGGCAACAGCCTAAGCATCGGCACATGTTGCTTTCTATTATTGATATTAATAAGTGGATCCATAATTTGCTCTCTAGGGATACCAATTTGCTATTTATACTTAGCCCACAGACCATATGTAATCTCATTATTGTGTATAGCAGCCATAGAAACACGTGTATTACAATAAAGTTTATTATAAATTGTGCGTCCATCGTTAACAACAACAATAGCAACAAATTGTAATTGCTTTAATGGTACGTGGGATACACAAGGAATATATATTTAGCCCCAATTTACTCCTCATCTAGTGCTAAAACAGAATTTTAAAATATTTGTGAATGAATTTATCCAATTTAAGAAAAACTATATATACATACTCGCAAATACAAAATGAATCCATTAGGTATAAGAAGAATCGTTACAACCATGAGGTTATCCATGAAAAGGATTTAGAAAAAAATAGTAAAGATGTAGTAAGGATACCGAAACAGAATTACTTTGCCTATTAATCTAACAATGTTTCCGTTTTCAAAAAACATTCTGAGTGTTATTTTCTTTCTACTCCTCTCTCACCGCCCAAAACAGTCGTAAGAGCATTTGTGAATAAATTGCTCCAATTTAAATAAAAAACTATATCTATAAAAATGATTTAGAAAAGAATTTAGAAAAAAATAGTAAAGATATAGTAAGGATATCGAAACAGAATTACTTTGCCTATCAATCTAACAAAGTGAATAAATTGTTCCAATTTAAATAAAAAACTATATCTATAAAAATGATTTAGAAAAGAATTTAAAAAAAAAATAGTAAAGATATAGAAACAGAATTACTTTGCTTATTAATCTAACAAAGTGAATAAATTGCTCCAATTTAAATAAAAAACTATATCAATAAAAATGACTTAGACAAAAATTTGGCAAAAAAATAGTAAAGATATAGTGCGGATATCGAAACAGAATTACTTTGGCTATTAATCTAATAATGTTTCCGTTTTCAAAAAACATTCTGACCGGTCTTTTCTACTTCTCTCTCACTGCCCAAAACAGTCGTAAGATGGCCCACTATCCAAACAATTTGGAGCCACCACAGCGCGCCTATTTTGGCGACGAGCCTCAGCCACCCGCACATTCCGCCTGCTTGGCGTCACCGCCCACCGCTGCTTCCGCTTATGCGCCACCAAAGCATCGTCAGCGCCAACGCCAGCAGCTGCCAACCGCGATGGACAATGCCGAGCACTATGCCGGCGAGCAGGAATCGCCTCATGATTGGCCCAACAGCAACAGTAATAATGACAACAATAAGCAGCTAAATGGAACCGAAAGCGATCCTCTCGCAACTGCCGATGCGCCGGATGAGGACAATGTTGATGTTAAGCATGACATTGAGCTGAAAGATGATGCCCCAGCCCAGCCCTCCACTACGCAATCGAAGAAGCAGGAGAAGGCGCTGGAGCGACGTGACCGTCATGGAAAACTTCGCCATGCACGTCGCAGCTCCAGCGAGCGTGAAAAATCAGCGGAGAAGCCATCAATGCGTCAGCGATCAACAGTGGCGACACACGATGAGCAGCATGAGCTGGCCGATGTGCCGCAGCCCGTCGAGGAGATTGAGAACGAGCATTTAGTGGCCAATCGAGTCGACTCGCCAGCCGCAAGATCCGCAGCTCTGCTCCATTCCAGCTTCGGCAAATATGGTCCGACCGAAGCCGGATATCTGATCAACGAGCATGGGATGCTGATGGCTCATGAGTTTGGTCCAAATGTGGCAAGTGCTGCTGCTTCGGCTGCTGTGGTGGCCGCAGCTGCGGCCGCTGCGGTTGCCGCTAATGCCACCAATGGTAGTCATAGCGGCGAACATGGTGCCGGAGCTGGCGGTGAATATGTGGACATTAAGATCGAGGAGTACGATGCGACAGAGTTGCGACTGACCAACGAGGAGCTCTCCCAGTGGCAGGATGTTATCAAAATGGATGACTACCTTGCCAAAGGACGACGTCCTCAGTTCTGGGAGGAGCCCTTCACCAAGCGCGTAAGTTCAGCCTCTTCAATTCAATTATCTTCTTTTTCCAAAAAATAAACTCGTCCTTGCTCGGACATAGGAGAATCTGGATACCAACTTTGGTTATTCTAGCTTTTATAGTTTCTGAGATCCTTGCGTTCATCCAGACAGACGGACAAAAAGACAGACAGACAGACAGACAGACAGACATGTCTACATCGATTTCTCTCGTCATTCAGAATACTTGTATATATACTTTATGGGGTCGGAGATGCTTCCTTCTGCATGTTACATACTTTTCACAAACCTAATATACCCTTTTTACCCTACGGGTACAGGGTATACAAAAAATAGAAAACGTTCTAACAGTTTAAGTTTTAACACTTCTGCCATTTGTTTATGGTTTCAATATCTTTCACTTTTAGGTGCTGGATGCCATTAAAAACAAAAGACTTGAAATGAAGAAGGCAGCGCGTATACTGGGCGTCTCCTATGGAACACTTTACGGTCGTTATCGCGAGGTCTACGGCTGCCTGAAGCATCCATACAGGTACGTAGAGTTGAAGCTCAATGCAAAGCTTAGTCCGCTCATTAACTTAATTATATATTATTATTTTTCTATTTTCAGCGGCACCGCCTTCCGCAATTCATCCGCCTCGTCCGCAGCCAGCCAACTTGGTGTCCAGCAACGGTTCGATCTGTCCTTTCGCAATGGCGGCGTATTGCCACCGCAACTGGGTAAGCGCTACTCTTAAGCGATGATGAGATCTGCAGGGAAGTTAACATGGCTGTTTTCGATTTGTTTCATTTTTCTTTTAGAGCTCGGAAAACTGCGTCAAAAAGATTTGAGCGAGCTGTGGACACGTCCGCAAATTTGAAAATCAAGTGCGTCGTTGAAAAATCTCAAACGTCGTCGTCGGCTGCTTTAAAGGGCGTTCGCCGCTTTGAAATTTTGTTTAAATTCAATTCATAGTTTATATATTTAGATCAAATATAATGATAAATTGATAAGCCTTTGCATAGGGGCGGAAATTGATCTTCTGTTCATTCGATAAAGTACAGCTTAACGACGTTAAGCACGAGGCTAGCTTAAGATAGATTATCTATAAATGGATGAAAACCCTGAAGAATATTCCTTTTAGTTTGCTTTCTTCAAATCACAATTACAATTTCACAGATCTTATTATTACATACATATATATAAATATATAACATAAACATTGTTTAGTTAATCACAAAGTAAAATAATTAAAAACGGAAAATAAGTATATTAGAATGGTATTAAATAACACACTGAATGTGAATGAAATGGCTATTGTTTTTTGGTAGTAAAATTACAAGTTATTCTAGTTAATCGACAAAAAAGAAATTAATCGTAAAATAGCAAGAATACATAACATTTTTTGATAAAATAAGATTATTAATAAAAATAAAGTATTACCTACTTATGTTTAATAAAAATTGACATTTTAAAAATGTACTTATTCCGTTAAATGTGTATTCATTGACCTCTCTCTGCTGCGCATTATCAACTAGAGTGCCTAGTGCCAGATACAAGTATTCTCTTGTTGGATTTTTCCTAAGAATATGATATCTTTTGAGCATACAAGTAGCATGAACATAATACAATTCTTCCTGAAGTAATAACTTTCTTTGGGCTAAAAATAAGCTTTTGATAGCTTGTAAAATAAAATAACATTGCATCGCTGCATATGGACATGTGCATGTACGTACTTTAATTGCATTGCAGCTTTATTTCTGTAAATGCTGAATTAAAAGAGTACATTTCCACTTGTTTGTTTCGAATATCTACTGTACTTTTGGCGAAGTGCTGAACTGCTGTGTAATACTAAACATTTTAAGCATATACACAGTTTTAATAACTACTACAAAATGCTAAGCTTCTGTATGCACATTTATAGTCAACAACTGTTTGTTTTTTGTCTTTTTTTCTTAAATTTATATTTGCTATCAAGCTGCCAAGCACAGGTAGCTTTCAATCAAAGACATTTGTACCAAGTATTTTTCAAATTACGGACTAAGACTGGCAACTCTGGCGTGAACGGCTGTGCAATTGAACTGACTGGCAGCGCTCGCAACAGCTGAGGTATTTGAGCTGACTCGCAGCACTAACTCTTTGTTCATTTAACTTTGCGATCGACTAGTTCGTCGTCTTGTGCTTTGAATTTGTTTTTTTTTTTGTAAAATGCGTATAGGAGAAATAACATATGGACATAACAAATACATAACAATCTCTGTATCTGGCGCCGACGAGCTGCAATTATATTTGCACAATGAGCACAAAAAGTTGACTTACAGCGAGAAACTCTTACCGGCGCAATTCTCACAGCGCTTACAAGTGAGATTTGTTATTGTATTAAATAAAATAAATGTAATCATTTCATGGGTACACTGTGTTTGTTTATTTGCAGCAACTAAATAGACGCGTTAAGTTCCCCGAAGCTGCCGTGCGTGCAACCCTTACCACTAAGGATCCCGAATCAAACACACTGAAAGATTTGGAGGCTGGCAAGCTTGCGCTGCAATTAAAATATCGCTTGGAGGGAACTACAGCGCCTCTACATTGGGAATGGCATCTGGTGCCCATTGAGAGTGCCATCGTAAGTGGTAAAGAATGCCAATAAACCGAAGGCCGTTTAAACTAATTGAAGGTACATACATATATTACAGCTGTATCGTGATATGTTCACATACAAAGTATCCACGATTTCGGCGTTGCACGAACATGTCATAAATATGCGCCAACTTTTGGAGAAAAAAGATGTAGAGATAAAACAGTACAAGGTTGAGGGAGCACAACTGCGTAGAAGTAGGTACACAACTAAAATTCATTTTTGAGATCATTCTAACGTCTTTGTGACAGGCACAGTGGCTACCAAGCCTTTCGATACAAAGGGTTTCGATGCACAAAACGAACAACTGCTGGCCGATGCAGCAGCCTATCAGCAAATGTCGCAGTTGCTTAACGAACAGAGAACGGTTTCACCAGATGTGCATGGTACTGGGACCCCGGATGCTAAAGTGAAGGTAGAACCAGTTGAAGAAAAGCCAAAATACATCAGTCCACGGAACAGGTTTGATTGATAACGATTTCTTCAATAGGGGATATATATTGTAGTTCTAATAACATGTCAACTGCAGAAAACGTCAGCGGCTGGAGATTGGCGAGAACCATTTGACTCGTAAGATACAGCAGCGTCAGCGTGCACCGGAGGTACAATACATTGATTCGCAAAGCCAAGAATTGGGTCTGGATGATGACGTTACTGATAGTACAGTAGACAAGAAGCTAGAGGGCTTGGATGGGGCTGCACAGCAAGCCGAACTGGATGCTTGTTTTGTTGAAAATAAACCTCCATCTTTGGAAGGACCGCCATTAAATCTAAAATTTTCGGATGATGAGGACGAGAGCAATAGGGATGAAAGCAATAAGCAATAACTATTTAATATTTATTTATATGAAACTAACTTGGTAGAATGTAACATAATTGATTTTTAATCCAGCTTGTCAAATATAAGTAGATAATGCCTGATGTTTTTGACCACAATTGATAATAAGTAATCCCTAGCGGCAGATATGATTAGATATCATAGATAGGAGTATACATATACATATACATTATACAGGTGCATGTGAAAATTAAAGTCAAAACTTGCACAATAAATTCCCATAACTCAACTCGAAGCGATGACAAACAGTCGCAATTAGTTTTAGTTTTGTCGGTCGGCTAGTGCTGAAAATATAATGTGGCACCTAAGAATAACTAAGATGCTTACATTTTTGCTTTTTTTGCTGCTGGTCAGCTCAGTGCGAACAGCAAGTGAGTAAGTGCGTCTTCCCTGCACCTGCTGAGAAAATTCATAGCATTTTCTTTTAGACAAATCCAACATTATCCCTGAGGAGCGCATTATTGGCGGCGCACCCGTATCTGTAATACCATACCAGGCATCATTACGTCTCTTGTCGTACGATAACGTTTTGTTTGGATCTGGACACATTTGTGGTGGCAGTCTGATTTCCCAGCGCGTTGTAGTCTCAGCGGCTCACTGCGTGCTCGTGTAAGCTACCTAAGGACATACACAAACATGAATAGACATACTTGATAAGCCTGAATTATCTATTTGCATGTTAGCTCGGAGAGCACGCCTATGGTTTTTCGTTCGGCATCAGAATTTCGTTTAGTTCTGGGATCTGTGAGTCTCTATGTGCGCACTCCTTACGTATATAACGTAATCAAGGTGGTGTACAACGCCAATTTCGACATCACCACAATGCAAAATGATGTGTCGCTCTTTTTCATGAATGGACTTGTGCCCCTGAGTTCGACCGTTGTCTATCCAATTGCCTTAAACACTATACAAGAGCCCTCTGGAACTAAATGCGAAGTAACCGGCTGGGGCTCCACATATGTGGGCGTAAGTAAAGCATTCATTTTTATGACAGCTACCATAGTCTCGAAATTGGTTAGTTCTTTAGATTTAAATCAAGCGAGCCAAGTCTATAGCTTCCAGAGAAACGATGCCCCTAAAAAAACTAGTTTACTTCTTAATAACGGTATTTCGCTGAAATATTTAACTTTTTAGTGGTACAAGATAGTTTTGCTTTCAATGTTTGTGTGAAATCTCTTTCAAAATTATCCAAATATTGTTTGTGATCTGATACCCCAGATTCTCTTGTTTGATCAGAATACTTGTTTGAGTTGCAAAAAACTGGCTAATGTCTCAAGAATTTATAGCTAATAGGATAAACCAATATGATATTATGATACACGCCTACACGTTATAATTGCTTTTAGTTATTTTGCAATCATTTACGAAGAACATTATGTAGGTAAGCTTCAAATTATTTGACTTGTTGCAGAGCAAAATATAATAATAAGAAGGAATGTAAAAGACTCGCTGTTTGGTGATATTTGGAGTTCCGGGATCACATGTGATTTCTGGACCCTACACGACTCTCAGGAAATGTGCTGTTAGTAGACCTACAATAAGTCTGCAATCTTTTCGAGAAGGAGATTCTTTTCTTTACTGAGTAGACTATGTCGAGTGCGTAGTAGTTATAATAATAATTATAATAATCTCCGAGACCCAACGAAAAATTTAATTATTTGTTTACTATTTAAAAAAATTATATATCTTCTTAAAAACAAAGACTTCGACTAAAAATTAGGTGTAAATATTGTGCCAGAATCCTTAAACCTTTGGTTAAGCTAACAGGCAGAAGAATTCTTGGGAGATTCTATACATACAAGTATGTGAAGAAATATGTACATGGTCTGTGCGGTGTATGAACACTGGAAGCTTTAGAACTGCTGGATATATCCAATATGGCTTGTAAACTTATTAATCGGAAGACAAGGCTCATCATAAGCCTCATTATGGTGAAAAGAAGCATTTTAAATACTGCGATAATTCAATATATTAACTAAGCCCATTGCTCTACTGTATGTATAGTGAATCGGGCCACTGGCCATATAACTGCTATAGTAATGATTGTTAAAATAAATTGTAAGTAGTATAATAGGGGGTGAGGAGAAGGGCACAGGGTATTACTTTCGAATAGTTATATACATAAATACACTTTATTATTCACAATTCACTGTACTTCCAAAAGATTTGATGTTTGAATTCAAAACATACATATTTCCTTAAGGAAGGGGAATACATAGCTTACCAAGAGATATGAATCATCTATTATTTTGTACGAAGAAATCGCTTAAGGTGGATGTGACGCACACAATAATTAGTCAGTATATACATTCTACATACATATGTATGTTATTGATAAGTCATGGCCCATATCTATTGTGTGTTGCCAGGGACTTGGGTAATATTCGTGTACATACATATGTATATGAGTATATGAATGTTTTGGCAGGGAATGGCAACTAATTGCGTTATTGTATCTAATTTCAGGGTCCGGTATCATCCGTGCTTATGGGGGTTGAGGTGCCAATCGTAAGTAATGCCCAATGCGCCGCTATCTATAGCAACACCTATCCCGGCATGCTGTGCGCTGGAAACGTGCAAAATGGAGGCGTGGACGCCTGTCAGGGCGATTCGGGCGGCCCATTGGCGTGTAACGGCCTGCTGGCTGGCATTGTCTCGTGGGGCTACCAATGTGCCTTGCCCGGCTATCCCGGAGTCTACACAAATGTCTCCGACTTTGTCGGTTGGATCCAGCAGAATAATGCGACCTTCAACTACAGCTACTATCTGAATACGGGCATTGCTTTGCAATGGCATTGGCTGCTCCTGTTGCTCAGCGTGTTGGCGTATTGGGGCTGAACCTAAAGAACGCCATAGCTTACTAGTATGTGATTAGATGTAACCAATAATAGAAGGAAGTACGAAAATTCTCACATAATTGATTTCTGAAAGTGTTCGACTAAATCTGTGTTGATAACAAGTACGAATTTTGCAATTTTTTTTTCCGTGTTTGGGGCTCTGGTTTATGTTTTTCAATGTTTTCGGTTCATTGTAGTTCACATTAGTTTGTAAGTAGGTGGTAAGAGGCGCTGCTTCAGCTATAGAAACATTCAATTTGTGCGCTATTCAGATAAGATAAATCCCATGGAAAACGGTCGGTTTTTTTTTTATTTTCGGCCCGACCCGTGTGTGGTGCCGGTAGTTCGTGCCATTCACGCCAGTCGCTTGATTGATGGGACAGCCATCACAGTCGATACGGCAAATCAGAGTAATAAGACGTTCCGTTCCGTACTCGGCGATATTGCATTAGTTACGACAATAAAGGATCGACTTGCATTGCGTATACGCCGCGTGTGCAGAGTGCTTTTGAATTCGAGATTGTTTTATTTCTCTTTGCCATTTATTTTTAAACTGCAACGAAAATACAGAAACTAAACGTTTTTTTTTTTAATTAACTGTATTTGCACGGCTCTTGTCGCGTTTGTTTGGCTCTACTTTTAATTCAAGTTTTTTTGTTTGTTTATAACTATGCGCGACTCGTTGAAATTAGTTTTATCAACAGCTACACTGCTACTAGTGCTTATTGTTTTCCCAACTTCAAGTGAGTCACAACAGATAACTTCAACACTAAAGGGCATCAAGGTCATTGCCATGATTGTTTCACTCGCACATAGAACATTGTTCACACATTTGACAGTTTGTAAGCCTAGAACTGCCATATATAGTATATTAGATAACACGTGAACACAAAAAAGCAAACATGGGGATTCCTGCAAGTGATTTGAGTTGTTCACAGAATTTTAAAAACTGTCGTTCAACGCAAATAAAGAGCGGAAAGAATTTGCATGAAATAGCCTGCAGAACACTGCCAAGGACTTTCATTTTAATTTTCTGCAAAGAAAGCGAATTGATTATGACTTTCCATAATGATTTTCCAGAACTTGTAATAGCGAAAACAGGAATACCACTCTACACAACTGTCGCCATAAATATGGCATGCTCGTAAATTGAGCTTCAGGCCAACTTTGTCATGGTTTTATCAGCTTATCACATACACATGTTTAAATATGATCGTCGTTAGTAACAGTTTCATTCGGGAATATAAATTTTTTTTTGAATGAAATGATATTACAATTTATTATTAAAAATTTATTTTAAAAATGAAGAATCATTGTTCTCGAACGCAAACAAAATCGTCTATTTGTTGGAGACTCTTAAACATCCTGCATGCAGTTGACTTATTAATTTCATTTAAGAACTCATTTTTTTTTAATTGGCCAGAGTAGTTGTGCTATTACAATAAAACCTGGTACATGGGTGAACAAGTTTTAAAAGAATGGAACTGAAAAATACTTGTACATTCTAGATTTGCGCGGGTTAGTGGGAAGTGGGAAACAAGTGGAGAGGCTGAATACCTTATTTTCGATAGATAGATAGAAGATTCGATTTGACAAGACTATGTAATTCTTGTAGGTCCTGTCAACTCAGAGTATCTTCCAGTCTGTTATTGTATATAAGCAAAAACAAAACAAAACAATTACATATGTGATTGTTACTTAAATTTTTTCTTAAAATTAAGTGCGACTTTTGAAGAATTCGTCTGAATGTCGAGAATATACTTTCGTTTGTTGTTGACGAAAAAATTAAAAATTTGTGTCATTTATTGTTGAAGAAAGTACAAATCTTCTGGACTTCAATATGCTAGAATTCCAGTTTTAATTGCGTGAGCGCATTAAGTAATCATTTGTTTCTTAAACCTATAGCTAAACAAAATAAACCAAAATTTCTTTAAATCAATTGATTTAAGCCTTTCTATTTTGTGTTATGTTATGTTATGAAGTTAAATGTTTAATACTTTTGTACGTTTTATATTGTCCAGCATCTTATACAACTAGTACGTGCTTGTCATAGTTGTGATATCGATATTGGTCTGATCAATGATTAAAAGGGTTTCCCAATATAATGACTTTGTATATTGTTGTATCTTCTTGTACATTTTGATGGCTGCCGAAATATTCGTGAAGTCTTGAACGACGTTTTCTAGTTAAGTTAAGGCCAGGAATCACAGCTCTAGTGAAAGGAAATAAAAATATCGGAGTATCTGCTGATAAGTGGCTTATTTATGGCGGGAAAGTGGGGCGAGCATTGGAAGTGGAAGGCAAGGAGAATGTTATCCTATCTTATCCAATATATAGACTATGCCTCATTGTCGCAAATTGTGGTTGCGCCTATTTACTGATAGGTGTTTTAAGAAGTAATATAAACATTGTGATAAGACACATACATACATACATTTATTTATGTACATATGCACACATATACAAACATAGTAAATTGGGGGTTTTCGTACCCATTCTAAAAGTTATATGGCATATACATTCGTAATTTTGTTAATGACATTTATCGTCTTGAATCGCAACGTTACCGATACAATTGCCCTATTTTTTTTAGAACAGCGTAATAGCCGCATTTATTGAACATGATTAGAGGGAGCCAATAATAGCGTAGATTATTAATTAAACAGAATGTTTGTAATCAGACGCTACAAGTATTAAGGTCTATGTGGAATCTTTGATATGAACTATCAGTAGATCGCGTAAACTTGAAATCATTTGGAACTTACTATCATAGAATACATTACGTAAGAATATATACGAGTATATCAGATATTTGTTGAACAGCTCATAACTAATTTACTACCCAAGATATGTGGCGAACGGAAAGGTCTTGATATGATCACAGACCTATGTATTTGTATGACTATGTATTTTGATAAAAGAGAAGGAGGAGTGTTAAACAAACAAAATAAAAGAAACAATAATAAGATTTGTTTTTTAATCGGCTTGTCCCACTTTGTTACGAAAAGGCCGATAGACTATTAATTATCTGCATAATAAAATTCCAGATGTTGCAACGTCAGTGAGCCCATTGGCTAATAACACGGTCAAGGGCGAGACAAGAGTGGTGGGCGGCACTGCCATCCAGATTGATGATGCGCCCTTCCAGGTATCCGTGCGACTGGCGAAGAACGAGAAGGACCGCTACGGATCGGGTCACATCTGTGGAGGAGTCGTTATATCACAGCGCTTGGTAGTCACAGCAGCTCACTGCTTTTTCGAGTAAGTCATTAGCCAACTGATCCTGAAAAAAAAAATCCACCAATTCCTTACAGACAGTTTTTTTAGAATTATTTTTTGTGAAAATAACAAATTTGTGTAAAGCCGTCATTTTGTGGCTTCAATTTTTACCTCAACCATGTGCGATCTATGTTTATTTAATCTGTCCCAGAAAGATATATAATATATATAATATATCTGCCATAGTTCGGATTTTTTGCTGATAAATATTTCCAAGGCACATCTTTTAAGTTTGCATAGTGCCTATGATATTATTAAGTTACATCAAAACGATTAACTAAATCATCTAAATGGTTGCTATAGGGACGACCTGTGAAAAAATCGCTGTTGGTACAAAAAAGTGCGGACATAAGGTATTCACCAATATTTTTATATTTTATTTCAATGATGAATGCCAAACTTAATCCTTGATATAGTCGCATATAAGCTTCAAACTAAGAAGCTCTTTTCCTCTACCACAACTTTAATGCTCTTGGTTAAGGTTATAAAGATTTTATGACACACCCATATGGTATTGTGGTCTATGGTTTTTCTTTTTCTGAGTGGTGGTATAAGCTTTCATATCAACCATAATCCCTTGTCCCCCTTGGTTTGGTTATATATTTTTGCAAATATATTTCCCAGATTTTATCATAGAAAACTGGGATTAAACAGCAATAAATAGAAGAAGAATAGAGTAAGAGTCTTTATTCATTTCCTTGCTTTATGCAGGATCGTACGTGTTATTCGAATTAAATAATTGCAGGATAATCCTGTTTTTGAGCTAAAGTGTGAAGAATCTTCACATTCAATGCACTGGCAAGTTGTCCGTCCAATGACTTTCCACAAAGGGCCATTGTAAAGCAATGTTGGGAGAGGCCCTTTGCTCCATTTTAGAGTGTAATTTTTACAGCTGAAAAGGAAATATTTGATAACCAGCTATAAATGGATAAGGATGTTTTTAAAATACAAGCAATTTAATTTATTCATTGCTGTTCTTTTATAACCATATTCAGCTATAAATGGAAAAGGATGTTTTTAAAATACAAGCAATTTAATTTATTCATTGCTGTTCTTTTATAACCAGCTCAAAAGATCAGTACAGAAAGGCCAGCGATTTCGTGCTGGTCGTGGCCAGCTCATACGTGTGGACCAAGGATCCAAATGCTCAGGTGTACAACGTGCAGCAGATGATCATACACAGCGGTTATCAACAAGGGAAATTGGTGAATGACATTGGACTCCTGTTCATCAATGGGTATTTACCCTGGAATTCGGCAAAGGTGCGTGCATTGGCCCTCAACACACAACCGATTAGCGCTGGAACGAGCTGTGCCGTTACCGGTTGGGGAGTCACCAATACCGCCACAGTAAGCAGAAAAGGAGTGCCATTGAGTGCCACTTGTGTGATGAAATGATTATTAATTTTGAATTTTAGGAGTCCACCAGCAATGTTCTGTATTCGGGTGCGGTGCAGATAATCGGGCAAGCAACTTGTGAGCAGTCGTACGGCCCCTTGCCACAGTCTCAGGTCTGCGCCGGCATTCTGGCTGGTGGAGTTGACTCCTGCCAGGGCGACTCTGGTGGTCCCCTGCAATGTGAAGACAAGCTGGTGGGCGTGGTCTCTTGGGGCAATGGCTGTGCGCAGCCCAACTTTCCGGGCGTCTATACGAATGTGTCCTTCTACCATGGATGGATTGTGCAGCAGAATAGTTCGCTAAACTATTCGTACTATAGCAATGGGGCCCCATGGAAAGCAACAACTGCTGGATTGGGGCTCTATGGCTTGGGATATGCCATGTTGAGCATTTTTGTGGTGGGCAGTAGATTCTAAAAGTTTTTTCATCATTGATCTAGCATAGACATAAAAGTGTTTATTTTTGTAATTATTGTGAGATTGGATAAGTCAATAGAATTAAGTACAAAATTGAACAGCTTAAAATAAAACTAGTTTGAATAATATCGGCTATTTTCAGATACGATGCTAACTTTAATTGTGTCTAACTAATTTGCGATTCAAAGTCTAAGATTGCTTCCAACAAACACTGCTATATATTTAATGCCATTCTAAAAATGAACTTGAACTGATTTCGAGCATATATTAGAAGACCTATCTGAAACACTATTCGATTCAAAAGGGAGCTCTAGTGCCAGGGCGAGCTTCGAGTGCGAAAATTCTACTACTAAAAATAAATAATAATAATCATAATTGCATTAGTGTTGACAAAAACAAAAAAACTTAAACAAATAAGTTGGAAAATTCCATATACTTACATATTACATAATACATAATCGTAGTGTCAACATTATTTTGGTTGTAAATGAATATATAAAATGAAATGCAAAAATGGCATTAGCTAGTACTAGGCCGTCAATAGTGCTATCTAATTTGTGTTCAGCGACCCATCGTGTTTAGCTTTCGTATGCGTATTTCTCGCTCGCACACCGCTGTCTCATTCACACCATCTGGTCTAGCAGCAAGCCCAGTGTTTAGTGTGATTTAATATTAAATAAATTATTTTGAAATGTGGGTATTATTTGATGTCTACCGAAATTTTCTAAGATTCTGATTGAAGAGTGCAAGTTTTTGTTACTTCATAGTTTATAAATTTTATAAGTCACCGATTATTTCAATGTATATGGAGATGGTTAGCGGTTTCAGCTTTCAAAAGTTATCCACCACGATTACAATAAAAAATATAAAAAGGGCTATTCGAAAAAAGGTGCTTAAAACTGTTCTGGCAGGACTAAATAAAATGTAAGTTGTTTGCATTCTATGTGCAATCATTAAAAATTATTTTTTTTTAATTCCGCTTATTCATTCAATTTATTCATTAACATTGGGTTGGGGGAGAATAAATCCTCTTTTTTTAATTTTTTAATTATTCAATTGCGCACACGCTTATTGGAAATGTGAGATTCCCCTTGAAAAATATGTTGTTTATCCTGTACATGTTCGATAGATCGATTCATTTGGACTGTATTTCAATCTGAAATTGACCAATTTCAAACCGTTAAAATTTGCTATTGTTAAAACAAGTTATTGCCAAGAAGCTAACAGAGATGTTGGGTATGGTCCATCCACTCTATAGTCCGGATCTGGCGCAAAGTGACTTTATCCTTGTCATTACCAAATATTCTGGCTGACGAAAGAAAGCATTCCGCAGAGAATTGAATAATTCGGTTCTTGCAGCAGCAACTGACAAAACTTTTATGAGAGAGGAATTTTGAAGCTCTATTTAAAATGGTAACTCAATTGGACAAAGAAGAAGAGTTGGCTATCTTTATTCCGAGGTCGAAGCCACCTAGTCCATGAGTATCTGTCGCATTCTAACCAACTAACTTCGTGTCTGTCAAATAGCATAACAATTTGACAGACCCAGGTCACAGAGCCGGAATGCCTTCATGGTCGTGTTAGTATTATATACGTGAAAAAAATCCAATGGGCATGGTTATTAAAATATTCTGGTTCCATAAAAACTCGTGTGGTAAAAAACAAATGCAAAAATAGGTGATTGGTTCCGTATCTCTAAAACCTATTAAAATCAGTGGAAAAGCAAGGATTTACGTTTATTTTTATTAAATCGCGTATATAATATGCATATCGACCCATATAAGAATGATTTCTAGCTGTTTGTCAGCTTTGTGCTTTTATTTATTTATTTTGTGTGCTAAATGGAATGAAGTCGTGTAACCAAATATACAATTTTTAATTTAAATCACCGTGTAAAAACAGAATTAGTTATGTAATGACAATAAAAATAAAGGAAAGTAATAAATACCTTGTACCCACTCCAACAGAAATAAAAAATGAAACAGAAATATTCTAAGCATTAATTGAAAACAAGTAAAAAAGCTAAAGTCGGGTGTCCCGACTTTGAAATACTCTGTACATATGTTTACAATAATTATAGAGAATAAAAAAAATTAAGAAAATTAAAAAAAAAATGTTGATCGATTTTACCTTTCTCGGTATTCGAACTCACGTAAATTGTGTATAATTTTACAATTTACATAGCAATTGCGTCTGTGTGAGTGTATGCCTATGCGCATCTATTCGTGTCTGTGTAAACATGTTAGCAGTCAACCAAACAACAACATCAACAACAGCCGCGGGCCGCGCTTGAGCAGCGCTGCAGCAGCAAATATATGTATGGCTATAACTTCTCGTTAAATCGGTCTATCATAGTGAAACTTGGCATACGGACACATAATAACTAACTGGGGGTATTTGCCAAATTTTATTTGCAAATTCCAAGAATTACGGAAGTTAAAATCGTGATTTGCATGGGAGAGGGGGGAGGGAGGGAAATTCCAAAGTTTTCTGCGTATTCACATAAGGCATCTTGGACTAACATTTGGTGTTCCTAGGTTTTATAGTCTCCGAGATATAGGCGATTATACGAATGGAAAATCGGGAAAACCTCCATAGGGGTGAAGTGGGGGGGGGGGGGGGGGGGGGGGGGGAATCAAAAAAATAAAACAAACTCGTACAGAATACACACATAAGACATCTTTGTGCAAAATTTGGTGTCTCTATCTCTTATAGTCTCTGAGATCTAGGTGATCATACGGACGGACAGACGGACGGACGGACAGACGGACAGACAGACAGACAGGGCTAAATCGACTCGTCTTGTCATACTAGACAATAATATACATACTTATACTTGTATATTTTATTGTTCTGCCACTCCTCCATTTCTGTTTCACATATATGTATATACATGTATATGCGCACACAATTAGTATACCCTTTTCCTTTTAGAGTACAAAATGGATCGATATGCATTGTTGAAGAGTATTGCGAAAGTCAATTCTTGGCAAATTTATTTATATTTGGGATCGATGCGCTCTGTCTCCCAACACCCAAGTAACTTCACTTGTAAATTGTAAGTTGAGTAAAATATTTCATGTTGGATACAAAAATTATATAAAGTTTTGGAAAATGTTAGACTGGCGACAGTTGACAATGGCGATGATTGTGTTGTCTTGGCATGCCTCTGCTGGGCAGAGTGAGTACAGCTTTATGTTTGGATGCGCTGCCCAATATTGCATATTACAATATCTTCTCGTAGAGATGGTGAAGACTGGCAACTATGTTGTGGGTGGCTATCCGATAACAACAGAGCAGGTGCCCTTCCAGGTGTCCGTGCGCTGGCGTTGGCTTCATGAGTTCCATTTCGGAAGGGGTCATGTCTGTGGTGGTTCGCTGCTGTCGCAGCGTGTGGTTTGCTCAGCGGCCCACTGCTATGCCATGTGAGTGCAGAGAGGGCTGCTATAACAATCGATTAATGACGCTATCCATACCACTTAGCAACCAGTCCAATCCGTTGCGCTACAGATCCAGTGAGTTGTACGTTGTGGTTGCGGGAAGCACTTTCATTGAGATTTCTGACAGCACGACCCAGGAGTTTCTAGTGCAGGAATTAAGCGGACATTGGGGCTATAATCATAGCACATTGGTCAATGATATTGCGCTGCTATTTCTCAATGGCTTCATCAATTGGAGGTTCACAATTATACGTCCGATACGACTGCCGAAAACACCGCCGCAGCCCGGCACTTTTTGTGCCATCGGTGGTTGGGGAAAGGTGCGTGTAACAATTAGCTGTAGACGGGCTATAATGATACAAGTAATCCAATCCATTGCAGGTCGGCAAGCTGACTATGATGCACCAGGGCATCGTACCAATTTGGCATAATAGACATTGCTCTGTTATTTATAAGAACCTGCCTGCGTCGCAGATGTGTGCTGGCTATCTAACTGGGGGCACAGACGCCTGTCAGGGTGATTCGGGGTCACCACTTCATTGTGCTGGCGAGCTGGCTGGCATTGTTTCCTGGGGAATTGGTTGCGGCAATCCCGGCTTTCCCGGCGTCTATACTAATGTGTCGAGCTACATAGAGTGGATTCGGTCTCATAATTCGACATTTAATTATTCGTATTATGCGAGGATGCGTCACCTCCAAAACATTGCCAATAACTGGAACTACAATTTGTTCTTGTTGATGGCGGGTGTCATTATTGCAAGCAAGTCGTAGCGCCAACATCAGAAGCTGTGCAAAAAACTGAAGCCATACTACGAGGCAAAGTAGCAGTAACAATGATTCTGGAAACCATCTTTTTATTTTAAAGAGCATAGCTTGGGTGTGGGAATAAAAGCAATTGCGCTCTCAAATTTTATGTAAACAACTCTCAAGCGCACCCATTTTTTTTTTTTGCAGTGAGCGAATTGTGAATTGTAAATTTTGAAAAAAGACACATTGTGGCGAAACCCGTTGATTGGCGGTATTTTGATTGCAAGACTGAGGGAAATTCCGCATCGCGCACTTATGAGCGCTTTATCATGTTAAAAATTCATAGAAATCTAACGATTTATCAGTTGGCACTCACACTCATCCATAAACGGGTATGGAGAGCAGCACTTCGATATTTTGGCATTGGCACTCTTTCCGCTGCTGCTCCTTGTTGGCTCTCTGCTGATTAGATTAAGCCATGTGCGCACCGTTTGTCTGATTTACTTTAGTTGATATTATTGCCCTGTCAATAGCCAAAGTAGCTGAAACTTATTACTTGACGTTGTCAGCCGCAGCAGTTAACATTGGACGGTAATATGTTTATCAGAGCCACGTCCACTTTACAGGCAGTGCTGCTCTTGCTGTTGTCGTCATCTCCGTTATTGTTTGGACAGAGCGGTATGTGTTTCATAATCCATCTTGATCCATAATGCCCAGATCGAATATCTAATAATAATCTTGCCCCCAGCTGCTGCTTCTGCGCCTCGTAGTGCATTGCCTTTGCGGCCACGTTTCGATGAGGATCCGGGTCGCATTATCAATGGCACTTTGGCCACCATGGAGGCGACTAGACATCAAGTCTCCCTGAGACGTCGCCTTAACGATGGCTATTTCTTTGGCACTGGACACATTTGTGGCGGCTCACTGATCAGACCCAATGTTGTCCTCTCGGCTGCACATTGCTTTGTTGAGTAAGTGTCCAATGAGTTTCATTGTTTAATGCTTAGTGGAAGATAGGAAACTATTAGCTGTCCAGCTGGACCCGAATTTCACGAAAGGCTTCAAAGAGCCAAACGGTACATCACCATCGATTTATCCAAGATGGAAAATGTTGACCCTCTGACGATTTGTATGGTGCTGGCTAGTTAGAATACAAGTATAAAGACGAATATAATAGTATAATTTGCACGAGCTTTTGATTTTATGTTTTTACTAAAATTTTTATCTCTACAATATATGAAGTTTTAATACACATTTTTTAACATACATTGTATATCAAATTGCTTAGAACTTGTCTGGAATTTGTCGTCCTTAACTAAAAGATTTGCAGCGATCAGTTGCTATTTTACCAATATGCGTCTATACTCGAATTTAAATGAGTGAATTATGCCTGGGTCTAGAGGTTGCATTAGAGTAGTTGTATTTGGTGGAAAATAAATTACTATTACAGCCTTCTAAACGGTTGTAAAAACTATGTACACATTGCCATTCTATACAGAATATAAAGGGACTACTTAATTTGAAAAAAATATAAAAACTGGCGCAGCTAACTTTTTTAATATTCATAGAAAATGACAAACGATAATAGGTGATATGAGGCGCCTAAGTCCAAAAGGCTGTTAACTTGGATGCACTAAACGTAATTATATTCAGACGAAACCAACTCTTTATGCAGCTAAGCAAATTTAACTGTATATACATAAAGGATGCAGGATTTCTCAACTGGATACTCTTAATAATTAAGAAAATAAATTACATCTTTTCAGTCAAATTATTTACGACGGCACCTTTATATCCAAAGACGACCTAATTGTCGTGATGGGAAACTTGGACCGATTTAATCAAACGAACACCCTTGTCTTCGACATCGTAAGGCTTGTGCTGCAAGTGGAAAAATTTGACTTGTCCACCTACAATAACGACATAGCATTGATATTCCTAAGCGGCTCGGCACCCACAAACCATCCCACTGTCCGACCCATTCCGCTGACTGAGGTTGCTCTGGACACAGGCACAGTTTGCCAGGTGACCGGCTGGGGTCTCACTGAAGAGGGCTATAGTGCCGATTTCCTAATGACGGTCGATGTACCGTTGATCAGTGGTGATGACTGCAAGAGCACCAGCGAGTTAGGAGATTTAGTTGGCCCTGGCATGGTCTGTGCTGGCTACTTGGAGGGCGAACGCGATGCGTGCAGCGGGGATTCGGGTGGCCCCCTCGTTTGCCAGAGCAAGCTGGCTGGTGTGGTCTCTTGGGGTATTGGCTGTGCGGAACCCTTGCTGCCAGGAGTTTACACCGAGGTCTCCTACTACTTTACGTGGATAGAGGAGCGCATAGCAGAGTATGAGAATGAACAAGGCAGCGGCAGTGGAGAAGAGGGCAGTGGCGAAGAGGGCAGTGGCGAAGAAGGAAGCGGTGAGGAGGGCAGCGGCGAAGAAGGAAGCGGTGAGGAGGGCAGTGGCAGTGGCAGTGGTGATGGGGATGGCGCTAACAACATTTTTGTCAACTCTTTTAGTATCGCATTTCCTATTGTTGTTTCAATCACACATTTTGTGCAAATAAACTAAGAACATCTTATAAACAAATCAAATTAGTGAAGATTTAGTTATTTTTCACGATAAAGGATATAAGAGTATTTCACCAAAATAAAAGTTGGCTCGATGCAGCTTCATTCCTCCGGCGTTTTGATCAAAATTATAGCACATTCCATATTATAGATTTGCAACACAATTTTAATGTCGAAGCGATGTTTGTTAAAGTTTGTAATTCATTAGACGACTACTCGAGTAACCTTTGCATATAGTGCAAGAAAATAAAAGATCATCAACCTGTTTTCGGATCATATTCCGTATTCCGTATGGTCTCAATTATATTCGAACATGAGCAAGGACTCAGCTTGGCTGGTGCTGTTGTTGCTGATGTCCTTGGTATTGATGTTGCTGGGGACCAGCATCTTGAGCGGTCAATACTGAGAAGGGCGCGGGTTATAACATAACCAATAGTTAAGAATTAGATGGAGAGGAGAATATTAAGATTGATTTTCACGCTTCCTATTCGCAAGAATAGGCCTAGACAAGATATTTTCTGTACCAAAAATTTAACAAACGCCTCCGTATTATAACATTTGACATAACATATAATGAAGAATTAGGTTGGGCAGTTGATGACTATTTTGTGGATTATAAAGGTTATATGTATGTGAAAAATAGAAATGCTAGAATAAAGGAAAATGGATTGCTAAATGCCAATAAAGATAGGGTGCCGTTGACATTTCCTTGCGTATATTTTCGCTGTTATTTATAGTATCTGAATTTTGGCGATAAGGCTTCACACTGAGATTCCTTGAAGCGCCGGTAGAATTAATGCAAGCGTTAATTGAAGTCGGCTGTATGTGTTTTCTAAGACAAGCCAAAACGAACAATCACTTCCATTGATCGCCTCTTTTTTGGGATAAAACTGGTAATATCCTTATGGCACCTACAGAAAAACTTAGAATTGTCAATAGTTATAGTACACAGCTTTTGGAGAATCGAGGAAGCTCAACCGCTAAAGGCGAATCATTATCTAAAACATCGGCTTAAGCATGCGACTATTACTATTACCTACAGCTTTGACTTCTCTAAAGTATAAGAAGACTCAAATGGCCGTTAAACTCTTTAAAAAGCTTGCACTGGAAGGTACCGAAAAGGTGATTTGTTTATTAACCGCGACAGAGAATATTTTGAAAAGCAATAATGATTCCTCAAAACATCATTGTTTTTTGTTTCCCATTGTCGAATTTTAAAAGACAGCCCCGAGGCGGCTCCTGTCCAAACCTAAGAAGAGAAGACTGAAGAAGTGCCTTCCAAAGGATCTCCCCACAAGATCCCTTGTATAAAATATATAGTAAAATATAATTTCATTTTTCATGTAAAACATTGTAAATATTGTATATACATAGATGTAAGTGCGTCCTATAGATGCTTACTATAGACAACTTTTGTGTTCCCTAACTTTCAACTAGCTTAAGCTGCCATATTGGTAGTAGAAAACTAGTTTAATAAATTGTATATATGTAAAAAAAAAATAAATAAAAAAAAGACAGCCCTCGCATTTCAAGTTTCTGGATATTTGTAGCATCGTTTTAGGCGGCACTAAGTTGGACCGCGCCATCGCCAACTTGTAAAAATATTTTAAATAACTACAAATGAGATTAGGTTTTGATTACTCATTACAAGATTAAACTTGTAAACTAAATAAAGCATATTATTTATAAAACAATTGTGCATACTGGCTTTTCTTTACTTTTGAGTTGTGTGGGAAATTTTCTAACGATTCCAATCGAAGTAAATATGTTGAGTGAATCCCTCTTTGTATTGGCGGCGACCATTATTTGTCGTATGTTTAGATACATTACTCGATTAGTTTATCTTTCATTAAAGCTTTCTATTATTTAAAATAAATGCAAAGCGTAGATTATTATTGCCAAAAACGTAAATAACTAAAAATAATCACAAGCAATGCCTTTTTTGTTTACTCAATGAAATGAAAAATAGTTCTTCACTTATCTTTATTACGTATATATATAGAATGACGTATGTATGTAGAATGTTCGGCGATTTTCGAGCCTTAGCCCATTGATAAGTAGCAGCAGGCAACGCATATAGTACGTATACGAGTACAGTCAATGATAAACGTTAAGAATTGAGGTTCAATTCGTAAGCCTTAATACAAAGCACACGATTTATGGCTGTAATTCTTGCGTTGGGCGTTGTTTGTTTCTATATAGGTACATATATGTATGTATGCATATACATAGTAAGCTTCGATGGCCAGCTAATTTCATAAACATATGTACGTTCGCAAAATGCAATGTAAGCAGAACCCTGGCGATCAACGCCAACTATGCTTGTCGTTTGTATTTAGTACAGTACATACATACTTACTCGTACATAGTACATACTTATATATGTGTATGTACAAGCATAACTGCACTCCAACAATCATATATTTAATCGTCTGTCTGGACACTTGAGAGCATTGCGTGTTCAGTGCAATGGGCACGTGCAATAACCCATGCCTGGATTCGATTGATAAGATCAATTTATAGCTTATTGTAAATGCAAAGGCAAACACAACTAGTTGGCCACATACAAAATTTATAGCTTGTCGCGGACAATCTTTTTCGAATGACTCCACTACGTTGTGTGTGTGTGTGTGTGTCTGTGTGTGTGTGTGTGTGTGTGTGTCGATTGGAACCTGACAAAATTCCATCAACATGCCTATCCATGCGGTATTTAAAGAGCAATTGTGGTGTCAGCGTTTTGCGACTTTACGAGGATTAACGACTAAAAATATCATCAGACGAGACTCGCAGCTCACGCCACTTGATCTCATTTAACTCACCGCTTAGTATTATGTGTAGCGAATGAATCATGTTTAGGCAGATGGTTTAATTACATAGTTGCCACTAATAAAATATTCAACATTACTCTCTAAAAATTAACCAGCCTTGATGTATTGCCAATGCTCTGCTTTAAACTAATCTCAATATCATTTGAAATGGCGGACTGTTTCGTAAATATTTATATTTTCTAAATGCAGGTATAATTTATATATATGTCGGTGTAGCTTTGAAATCAATACTAAGCCATTTCGCATTTATTATCAATTTAGTGCGTTTTTAAATACAAATACAAGTAGATTTGAGCTTTCGTTTGCAATTCTTCTTTTGATTTATTGAACTTGAAAATACAAAAAGTGTGTTTTCCAACACTGTGCAAGCTGCAAACAGTCTATTGCTTTAAGAAATATGAATTATTTAATCTGCTGAATCTGAACTGAGGCTTGTGATAACCCTAACACCAGAAAGAAATGATCGGCTTTTATATAACCTACTATAATTCTATATTCTGTGAGTTAGGTCTCAGCTGTTGCGTTTTTAGTGATATTTTAAATAATAGAAGTTGGGTATAAATAAATGAATAGCTTTTAAAAAATATATTTGTTGAGTTGATCGGTCTGTATTTTTGGCCTTAACTAAGATGTTGATATTAATAGTAGGAGGGCAAAGGGTAGATTCAAAATAACAAATAATAATCGTATTAAAAATTGATATTTTAATATAATAGGAGTAGGATATAAATAAATAAAAGTTTTGATTCATTTTTAGTTTTTTGTAAATGCATTTATTCAGTTGAGAATCGGTCTATGTTTTTTTCCATAACTAAGATGACTATTTAAAGTAGAAGGCCAAAGTGTAGACTTAAAATAACACATAATAATCATATTAAATATAGTACATCATATGTATGTAGTTAACAGGCAATGATAACAGATCTGCCAGTTATCGTCTTTTCAGGCGGGCTATTGGACGAGCTTTTATTAGCAAGCATTTGACTCAATAATTATAGAAATGATAAGCAAAACTTTAATAACAGTAACTACATTTAACCATAATTTTAAGGAATAAATAAATCCGTTAACACGATGACTAACTATGGGTTCTATGTATGAGGCTTACAGAATTAAAAAGGCCGCTAGTCTGCACAGTAGAGTGCAAAATTTGTGATAAGGAGCGTTGACATTTGGCAGCACGTTTTTGAAAAACTGAGCTAAGTATGTACATACATTCATATACTCGTATATATATACAAAAGTATAAATAAAAGTACATATAAATGAAATAAATGCAATGGTTGAGGGAACAAAGTGAGTTGATTTTGCATGCCCTTGACATAAGCCGTATTAAGTACCCGCTGATCCAGACAATATTTATATATAAATAGTATACCCGTACATATTAACAGTCGACATGTGTAAGAGCATGACTATCAGGCAGTTAATAGTAATTTGATCTCATGTACTTCGACTGAAGTTTCAATTTTAAAATAAGCAAATTATATACAGCCATATACGAGTGTGTGTATGTATTTATTCACATACATACATACATACATTCATACATACATACATATATAAATAAGAAGGTAGAAGTTATAGTCTTATCGTTTGTCCGATTCGCATATGTGCGCTTGTGTGTATCAACGAGCCCCTCTGGACGCCCTTCAGTACGGGTAACCAGTCCAGAGCTAGCGGAATCGCCAGCAATCACCATTAGTTGCCCTTTAAATTTCTTCTGCCTGCTCTCACTCGACAAATCATCTTAAGCATGCTGTAGGTGATAGTTACTATTACTCTTTAGCTTAATTACTTTGCTATTGTACATATGTTATTTATTTATTTACTTATGCATTTAAAGTATTGGCACGAAAATGAAGGCAATTGGTTAAAAAAGAAGAGCAAGTTTTGTATCTGCTATGAATAGGTGGATAAGTACACTCGTTCTCATGATTTTGTAACATTACTCTTTCTTAGGAGAGAATGTAGATTGCTTGGTAAATTTACCATTTAAGCGAAGTAAGTAGCGAAAGGCGGCCCTTGACTGCCACGCGTACTGAAGGGTATTGACTTATAAGTCAATTATGTGCTTGTGTATACTTGTATTTATGCATGTGCCTGTGTATGTGTGCTATATGGCACTGCTCGAATGTTGCTTCTTAATCAATACATATCAGCAACGGAAAATAAATATAAGGAACTTTAGCTTTGGGGCGCAGTAACAAAAACAATAATAAAAACAAGCAATACGCTTCGAAACCAAACCAAAACAAAACGAATTGAAGCTATCAAGAAAGCTTTGCGAATTTCCGTTCATACGATTTAGAAATGAAAATTTCATTCGGCATTTGCAGCTCGAACAGGTGGGAAGCGGCCATAATCGTTGCAAGCTCTGTTTTGTTTTGTTTTGTGTTCGTATTTAAAGAGTGAAATTTTGAAAGAAAAGTTCAAAATGCAGCCCAACGAACACCTAAGAAAATTGATCAAAATTTTCATATTTGCATTCTTGTGCACCGAAATGCAAACAAGTGAGTAAATTATCCCAAAAAAAATATCAAATCATGCATGAGAAGTGGATTCGATAAAAAGAGAGAGAGAAAAAAAGTATGCAAATCATTTTCCTTTAAGGGATAAAAGAATTAATATAATTAACCAAGCCCCCTTTTTTTGTTGTATTTTCCAAACACAAAGCACTCTGGTTAGGTCGAGGTTAATGTGGTACGACCCCGAGCTGCGCTTATTACTCGTAAACATTATAAATCTTAGAAATGATGATAGAAATATATATAAAATATATGTATATAACATGTGTGACTTTAAATGTGGTGAGGCTATTACTATGTTTCTATTATTTTCCACAAATTTAAAAATGAGCTATGGCTGCTTAGGAAGTTCAATATTGTTTCATTTGAAAAGCATTCAGATTAATGAGATGAATCCACCTAGCTGCCTCTCTCCGTTTTTTTCTTTTTGGTGTAAAGTATTAAAAAAATATATATTTATCATTATCATGTTGGAGTGTTTTTTGCAATATTCAAATCATTTTCTGCAACTTAAGTAATTTGGAAAGAGTGTGTGGATTGTGTATAAGTATATGAATTCCATCTAGGCAGTTGCATAATTAATTTGAATACTTTTATTAGCCGAACTAATCTATTTGGGAAAGACATAATTTCCGTTTCTATATGTTTTATCGTCAGCACCTGGTTATCCCTTGGACTTGACTGCGATAAGTGGCCCTAACAACAGCAACTTAATTTAGACATTCTCGTATTCATACTAGTTGCTGCCACTTGTACACATTTCTTATTGCATTGCACAACTTTTGGGTGGTCGGGCGATCAGGGAGCAGGGGTAGAGGTGCAAAAAATGCGCCATTGGCTGATAATCACTGATAATGCTACGTATCACGATTTGCTATTTTTTGTGAATGTAAAAATCACACCACTTCTAATGCATCGAATCGTAATTGTTGAAGCATTTTGCTTCATGTGGGGCCACACACCATTGGAGTTTCTTATCTAATACGCTATCTCTTTATAGCGTTCACAGGTCGCGAGCAGACACAGCAACGCAGCATTGGAGGATATTTTAAAAAAACAACAAGAGCCAATGAATTGGCATCGACTGCGCCATATCAGGCCTCTATACGGCTAATAGAAGCGGAACGTGATTACTTTGGCAAAGGACATATATGCTCCGGTGCTTTAGTTGCACCCTCTGTGGTGCTTACGGTTGGCCGCTGTGTATACAAGTAAGTCAGATATATTAACAAAAAGTTGTCAAAAAAAAAAAAAATGGGGTTTTCAAATCGTCTTTCGATTTGGTGAGCTCTCTCGTTGCAACGACTATGAACACGATCCATGAAAATGCGCTACATACATAGATATTTTACATATATTTTGTTTCAATCGTCATTTTCAGTTCATTTTCCTAGTCTAAGATATTCATTTAGCTTCGTTTTAACAGTATTTTCTCATTTTAGCTACGAAAATCGGAAGGCTTATCATCCCGCCGAGCTGCGCGTCATGCTGGGCAGTACTCTGCGTTTTGCGCCCACAGTGCACACATCGCTCTTTGGAGTAACGCATATCTATCGTACCTCCGATATAGCTGTTCTCATGCTGGAACGTGATGTGACCATTGTTAAGGGCATTGTGCAGCCCCTTCAATTGCCTGAGGCGAGCATGCCGGAGCCTTGGCACAGTTACACTTATAACATTAGTACCTGGGGAGTGAACTCGGAAGGAAACGAATTGCACGAGTTAGTTACGTACACAGCCAAAACAATCAATTGCGATGACAAGCAGGCAGATCAGGTAACGATTTGTCTGGTGAAGAATTCAGATATGATAAGATCCCAGGATGTTGGAGCCCCATTATTAAAAGAAAATTGTTTGCTGGGCCTGCGCAGGGAGGAGGACAGTTTTGTGGATGTCGCGCTGTATGTGGATTGGATTGAGGAGCAAATTGGTGATGGATCGAATCAGAATAGCGCAATATGGGGCATCTTGGGATTCCTGGCCTTCACCGCCCATGTGCTTAACTGCAGCTGCAAGAATCGCCTCTATTGAGGCAAGAAAATGGGGAATGTGGGGACAATGGAGAAAAGCCCTATTGTTAATATTTAAATTTTGAAATGTGATAATCTCCTAAAACTTAAGATACATATTATTGCTTTATTTTGATCGAAATTACTGTTTCAGTGATACACATTATTTTTTTATAAATACACATTCATTAATATATTTTTGAAGCAGCAATACAACTGCAATTTTAAATATATACATTAGTGTATATATATTGCTCCTTCAGAAACGTGTCGTAACAGAAATTAGTTCTTCTGACAATGATAAGGAAAGTACCGTCATTTATGAATCTTTTGTGCGAAAGAAGAAGAAATTGTGAATAAAAATTGTGTTCAGCCGAAAAGTATGCAACAAAAACATTGCCTTTCCGTTCTCGACTAAGATCTTGGTTGTATGTACATACTCGTATGTTTGTTTGCGGTCATGGGGCGCGTAATATAAATGTTACTGAGTCTGTTTTATCTATTGTGCATTAGAAAGCTTTTTATCACTTTTTATACCCTGTACCCGTAGGGTTAAAGGGGAATATTAGGTTTGTGCAAAGTCTGTAAGAGGCAGAAGCAAGCATCTCCGACCCCATAAAGTACAAATATTCTTAATCAGCATGACGAGACGGACATGTCCGTCAAATGCTTGCTAATAAAAGCTCGTCCAATAGCCCGCCTGAAAAGACGATAACTGGCAGATCTGTTATCATTGCCTGTTAACTACATACATATGATGTACTATATTTAATATGATTATTATGTGTTATTTTAAGTCTACACTTTGGCCTTCTACTTTAAATAGTCATCTTAGTTATGGAAAAAAACACAGACCGATTCTCAACTGAATAAATGCATTTACAAAAAACTAAAAATGAATCAAAACTTTTATTTATTTATATCCTACTCCTATTATATTCAAATATCAATTTTTAATAGGATTATTATTTGTTATTTTGAATCTACCCTTTGCCCTCCTACTATTAATATCAACATAAAGTACAAATATTCTTAACCAGCATGACGAGACGGACATGTCCGTCCGTCTGACCGTCTGGATAAACGCCTGGATTTCGGAAACAGATGAGCGCACATTAACCAAACTAGTCCCCTTCCTCCCTACACTACAGAATTTTGTCAATACTGTCCACATTTCAAAAGCTTTATAAACCCAAAGGTTGGTAATTTTTATACAATTATCTATTATTATTATAAAAATCGGTAAAATCTAAGAAAAGTTGTTAGCGAAACAATTTCACTCCAGTACTACGCCTACAAATTGCTTATTTATTTTTTTTTTTTTTTTTTAATTAATTTTTTTAATTATACCGTTATATTTATAACTTCAATTAAACTTATATTGTATTTACAAATACAATTTAAACTAGGTGTTCAGTGCTAATTTTAATTTAATTTTTTAATAAACAACTCTTTCCATATCATTGTTTCTTGAAACATTATCTATATCCGTCAAAAAGAAGCCTCTGTGAAGCTCTAAATGCAGTCTTCGATATTTGGTTATCTTTGGAAATCTTAGCTTTCCTTGTCGATCGGTTGCTGTGAAATATTATAGTCATTAGATATCGAAACTATTTCGGCAGGCTTGCTGCATTTCTTTTCTGAAGCACACATAATGCATAACGAGATTTGATGTATGGCCGGATTATGTCAACCGTGTCACAGCATTTGATGGGGGCAGTGTGTGTAAGAATGCTGGGAACGGGAACGGGAACGAGAGAGTGGGATCTGCTCTATAAATAGCATAAGCGCATAGTGAACAAATTTTTCGATTGAATCAATCAGAGTCGATCATTAGGCGAGATCATTAAAGACATTAAATTGCGTTCATATATAGTATGTGTCGCTCAGAGACAGGGAGGCTAACGGCAAAGCCAAAGCCAACGCCAACGCCAACACCATATGGACTGCCATTTGGGGCAATGATGACTAAAGGAAAGCGTTTCTCCCTTAATTCAATGCTGTTCCGGCGTTTACATGCGTAAAAATAAAATGGAAGACTATTTTAATTTATGCATGCTCTGTTATAGGACGGAGCGCTGCGGTACTTCGCTAATACCCATTAAAGGTATGCACAATGTCGTTCATTTAAATATGGAATTTATATGACAACATCCAAAATGTCCAAATGAGCTATGAAACCTAGTAACGAAAGTAAACTTCTAATATCAATTTGTGCCGAAATAACCAAGTCTACTTAGTTCCATTGCTTTAAGTAAATTAATTAGGTGGGAAATGTTTTTAAGAATTTTATTATGAATATTTACAATTTTTATAAAATAGAACAAAATTCATATGATCGCTTATAACTTTAAAAAAATTCTCTTTGAATATTAGGTTATGTTAAAAGCCCCGACTACATTCAAACAGCGATAAGGCCTGCTTTCGTAAATCCAAATTAAAAATCTGAAAGTCAATCAAAAAGCCAAACTTAGCTTTAGCTTTAGGGTCATGTGCTGAAACTATGTGCTTGTTCTTTCGCCACTACATGGACTACAAGGATTTATTAAATTCCTGAAGCAGAAGGTTGAATATTGGTTGGGTGACTTCTTTTAGACACAGACTACTTGTATATACAAGCTAACATTTCCAACTATAAGGAGAATTTGGATCCTGCTTAGCTGCTGGTCTTCATTAAATAATTAAGCTCATTTCTGTAAATTGTTTGCTGGTTATAGTTTGTCAATATGTATGTATGTAGTATTTCTTGCCATGATTTGATTAAACAGTTGCTCACAACATACAAATTTGTTTGGTCTTTTTAACATGCCCGCTTCCCCATATACATATATTCAAGTATAATGTCAATTTTGGGCTGATTCACCATTTCGGGCGCATTTTCGTGACTAATTAACAAATTTCACATTTGGCAGCAACAACAAAAACAACAACACACTGCACATTGGTAATAGGACCGATTTTTGTCTGACAAAAATTCAATTTTTTTGTACTTATTAGGTAAAAAATTTGTAGCACATTCCATTGCGATGCCATCGTGGTGAGCTTCTAAGTCACATTAGTTTCTGATTTTGCGTACCATATCTATATACAAGCTTTAAACATACTATGGTACATAATATTTTCTATTTTTTTAGGAAGGTAATTGTATGGAGCAAAAGTATATCCGATTATCGTTGATTGTTGTACCTACAAACACTAATTATTAAGTTACATATTGTATTTTGAAGTTCATATTTATTACCCTATTTCAAGTAATAATACACCATGTATTGGGTCCTGGGGGGTACATGAAACAATGATCAGAAGAATCTGCATACCAGGCTAGTTCATTCAAGCTCTTATAAATTTCAAGACAACGTATACACTAGTAATACATAGGGCTTAAATACAGTTGGCACACCCTTAGATTTTCGTTGTAAGCGTAGATTTACTAAAAGCAGGGAATTTCGCATTCAAATGGGGATGTAACCTACCTGTTAAATATTGTCAGAGAAATAATAATGAATTATTTTGCATAGAAAATAACCTAAGCCAATAGGAAACCAAATAATCTTAATACATTCATTTTTTTGGGGCCGCTTTAATAACGGCTTTCAAACGTCAGTGCACACTTGTTTCTATCAAATTGTTGATCTTCTTTAAATTTTGTTACAATTCAGCATACGGCTTTGTTTTTATTTTATTTGTATTTATTTTTTATAATACTTATTGGGTTACTTTTAAATCATGACTCGAATCAATACAAATTTAATTATGTCGAGCTTAATAATAAAGCAATTTTATTATTTAGTAGAATTATATTTATATTTTTTAGATTTATTTTTTAATTTTTTAAGATTGTTTGCTGAGTTTTAAAGGTTTCCATTATTTAGGGATTCCTTTCACGAATGGTTCCCATTTATGCTCAATGGGACTCAAATCCTGAGTCTGGGGTGGAGTTGTATATGAATGTAAATTTTTCTATTTTTAAAAAAATTCATTTTTATATTTTTTTAGATTGTTTGCTGAGTTTTAAAGGTTTCCATTTTTTAGGGATTCCTTTCACGAATGGTTCCCATTTATGCTCAATGGGACTCAAATCCTGAGTCTGGGGTGGAGTTGTATATGAATGTAAATTTTTCTATTTTTAAAAAAATTCATTTTTATATTTTTTAAGATTGTTTGCTGAGTTTTAAAGGTTTCCATTTTTTAGGGATTTCTTTCACGAGTGGTTCCCATTTATGCTCAATGGGGCTTAAATCTTGTGTCTGGGGTGGAGTTGTACCTATATGTATGTATGTCAATTTTTCCACTTTTTTTTTACAGACTTTTATCTAATTTATCAAATTTGTGGCAAAAGATTTGGACTTGCGACCAGTGTGTATGAAGTGTTAGCTTTTGTGTGTGTGCTGCCAATAACAATGTTGACCTCGAAATAAAACAAATAAAAGCCATGGGTAGACATTAAAGCTGGCAAACGAATGAAGGTATCAGCATACATACATACATATGTATGAATTCATAACCAAGCCCACATCCTTGACGCAGGTCGCTCGGTCCCTCGACCAGTCCTCGGTCAGTCGATAGGTCGGTTGGGGGTCAGTTAAGTTGTCAATACGGCACTTTGACAGCTGATTTTGAGAAGAAGCGGCTCGCACTGATTTGAGTGCTTGTGCTTTCCAATTAGCCACACGCACACTCATGCATGTGTGTATGTGCATTTGCCTTTGAGTGTGTGTGTGTGTGTGTGTGTCAGTGTTTGTTTCCTGTCCAAGTGGCTGACTGACTGCGCGAGCAGAGCAAAAACTCAACACAAAACATTAGACGCAACTGCCTGAGAGCCAAAGAGGAAATAATAACAGAGAGAGAGAGCGAGAGCGAGAGCGGGAGATAGAGAAGGAGGGAGAGCGCATACAAGGAGTCGCGCTCTGGTCGTTTGCCGTACGCCACATTCGAATACGGCGCAAGCAGCGAGCAGCAAGTAGCGCGGAAAATTCATTCGCAGGGAAAACTCGACAGTGGCGGCGGCTTCATCATCTCCGTAGTCGTAGTTCTAGACGTCGTGTTCGTCGTTCGTTGTTCGTCGTTCGTCGCTTCGTTGAGCGAACGAAGAGCGTGTGCGTATCTGCAAGATACACGCGGCATAAGATCGCGACCGACAAACGGGCCGCAGTCTGGCGCTTTTTTGAATCATTGTGCAATTTCGTGCCGTGGACGCCGGACGTGCCACCGAATAGTTGTAGTAACAGCAACAGCAATACCAACACCAACAATAACAATAACAACAACACGAACAACAACAAACGACAAACGACCCAGGCAAGAAGTGAGGCGTGAAATTTGTCTATGCTGCTGTTGTGCTCTACATTTTATTTCTTAAATTTGTTCGTTGTTTTTGTTGTATTTTGGTCTTCTTTTTTTTTTGGTGCTCCTTTATTTTCTGGTGACTTGTGCATTTATTTATTTGTGCGCTCGGTGTGCTGGTAAATTAATTTCTAACTGAATTGAAAATGCATCGAAGGAAATGCATGTGCGAGTGCGAAATACATTAAGGCTGAGATATTTACACGTTTTCTACATACGCCTGCACATGTAGTGTGCGTGTGTGTGTGTGTGCGTTTTTGTGTATGTATGTGTGTGTGTAAACACAGACAGCTGTTTTTGTTGTTAAATGCAACTAAGTGCCATAATATCGTAAAGTGCCGCGCCGCGCCGCGTCGTGCCACCAGTTGCAAATAATCAAACATTGCCATTGCGCTGAACTGTGTGCGTTGTTTTCGTATCTGCGAGATACGAAAATAGTGGTGCATATAAAAACGTATTTAATTTTGTGAATTGCATTTGGCGAGAAACCCTAGCAAGTGCGTCCGCATACACAGAAGTACGAGTACGTCGTCTTCGTCTCGCTGCCAGTCTGTCTGTCTGTGTGCGTTCGTCGTCGCCTCGGCCATGCCACTTCAATTAAAATTGTAATTGCAACTGCAACTGCAACAGCAACAACAACTACAATAATATTAACAACATCAACAACAACAACAAAGATAACGACGCCGACGACTACGAGGACAACCATAGCAACAAATTCACGATGAAACTGTGGAAATCAAAAAAGCCCATTGGCTGCGTGCCCGGCAAGTCAAGCGCACTCAAACAGGAGCAGGAGCAAGCGTCCAAGCAACAACAACAACAGCAACAGCAACAACAACAGCAGCAGCAGCAGCAACAGGAGAGCAATGGCATTGCGCTGGCGCCCATGCTATCCGGTGAGTCCATATGACCCCATCATCGTGCCATATCAAGACAACATTCGCTTAGGTTTTCCGTAACCAAAAACTATAAATAAGAGTATGTGCCGCCGTTGCCGTTCCTATATGCACTAAATTAAGGCACAGTAGAGCAACAATAAAATGGAAAATGCACTTCATCTTAATTGTGAATCATAAATAACGTTTTTTTGTTTTTATAAAAATCTGCAGCCGACACAACCGCTTTAATTTTCAAATGACAACCGAAAACGAAATTTGACAAATATCTATAAACAAATAATTAAACGAATATGTGTACTACAACAATCATTTCTACAACTAGTTTAAATTGGAAAATTGGACGAGTTTGTAGGCAAACAATTTAGAAACCGAATTCACTTTTACAGCAAACTTAACCGAAATACTTATCGCATACATTTAGTTATTTCAGCTGTGATTCTTCCAAGAACGACGACATAGAAAGTTTCAGCATTAAATTAATAAATAATTTTGAAAAAGTTTAACTAATAATTTTTGTTTGTTGCTTTTGTTACTTTTTATCAGCATGCATTCAATCCTAAAAAATTACTTTCCTCATGATTAAAAGTTTGTTAAGAAAACTAAGTCGATCGGACTAGAGTTCTGAAACATTCTTCTAATAAATATATTAACCTAATTAGTGGAAATACAGATTGTAAAAAACAGGAGTTCCATCACAGTTAAACTTTGGTTAAATATATCTGTGAACTTTTCAATTACACAGTTGATTTCGATATCTTCATAAATACTTCTAAATTATAACTTATGTTTTTGAATCTGATTGTTGCCATGTCAGTTGTAAGTTATATGCATAAATCATATAAATTGTAAATGATTTGTTAATAGAAGGGTGTATGTAGACGTCAGGAATTTCCGTTTCGCCTTCAATGCATCGCTGTTTTAAGACACGTCTTAGGTGAACATTTATTTAATAGCATTTTGTCGTAAGGATTTCCGACTGTACCTACTCGTATGTCCTATCTTTTTCTGTCTTTAGCTTTTCGTTTCGACTTCCCTTCACTCGTCGCTCATCGTTCAGGGTTATCGCATTTCCGTTCAAGGTGCGTTCCCAGCCACCAGCCCCCATTTCCATTCCCTCCGTCCGCATTCAAGTGCTTCATTTTTTTTCATTCTAATTTTTTTAAATAATTTTCCACGACTTTTCTCAATGCGTGCTGCATGCAGCAGACGCTGCTCAACCAAGGGCGTACGCAGGTTCTACCAAAGGGGGTGGCCAAAAAACGTAAATTTTGATTAGATAATGCACGCTGCATTTAAATAATAATTTATGCATATGATCAATGAAAAAACTTCAACAAATCCAGCTCAGTTCCATTTAAAGGCCAAATAGTGCGCTATAATAATGAACGTATGGTCGACCTGATATGGCAACATTTTTTGGCCTCACCAGCCCCCCTGTGTACGCCCTTGTGCTCAACCGCTCGTGCGGCTTCTATGACTTAGTCGGGCAACTTGTTTGACATTTTCAATTAAAAATAATTGCTCGCATTTCGTTTTAATTTCAAAACGTTATTTTCACTGCAATTTGTCAATTTCGTTGTAAGCGTGTTTGTGTGTGGATGGCCCAAGACCTGGCCGTTGATTTCTGTGTGAGCTCAGTCTGGGTGGTTGTGGACAGAGACCCCGGGTTCAATGAATGCGAATGCTCTGCGCATTGCTTGGAACTGATTGCGCAGCCCATTGAATGCGATCGCACACTTTCGGATACGTATAAGTAATGCTATGTACTTATATATTCGTAAAAAACTGTGTGATCTCGTTGCTTTGAATATTAGTTTATTAACTTAACCCTTATAGTAGCTATAAGATTAATCTGATGTTTGTAGGAAGCAAAAATATTACAACGCGTCGAACTTGGAAATTCTAATTTTTAATTAGACTAGAAGGCAATTTCCCACTGCCATAATTAATCGAGCCCAAAAAACAACTGAAAAACTCAAAATATAAGGATATTCTTACTCTAGTTTGCTTAAACATGCAGACATTTGTATCTCGTACTTTTGTACAGTAAACACTCCGTAATTAGAATATCTAGAAATAACAAAAGCTATTAACTGAAAAGATTAAATATTCTGTTTAAAAATTTTTTCTATCTATTTCAAATTTAAAATTTGATTCTGCACGCAGGGGCATGATCTTAAATAACTCCAGGGGCTTCTAATAGCTAGAATATTATTCAGCAAAACATGTATTATACAGTTTTTGAATCATCAGAAGAGGGAGATAATTTATAAAATGTAGCTCCGTTTTATTTTTTTTATGGACCTATAGATAAACACCAAATAGTTTATAGTCGTCCACAATATTGAATGCTTAAATGTCAACTAGGATGGAAACGAAGAATAAGAAGAGCTGAGGTTTGATGAGTTATACAAAAGCCCAACTTTTACTTTCATTCCGTATATCTTAATATATATAGTTGGAAAGAAAATCTGTTGATCCACGCGGATAAAGCAATTGCATCGAACAAGAGGTTTTATTTATTATAAGGATTTCGTTTTATAATAGCATCATTAAACAAATGCTTCATAGCATTCAAGTTATCTTTGAAGCTTAAGCAAAACCGGCCTTTTTAAGGCATATTTTTATGTCTTGCTCGATAATAAAATTTCAAATGGTACAGAAGATTACCTAATTTATTGATTAGTATGTTGTTTACTTTCGTTGGCTATCAAAAATCCCATACTAGTTAGTTAGAAACCAAAAGAAGCCTCTAGAAAGTAAATCGCCTTAAAACTAGAGACTATCTATTAAAAATTAATTGATTTTTAATGGTAAAAATAATTATCATGCACAAAATTGCTTGCTGCTTATTTAAGGAAGAAAGTAGAAGATATATTTTCAAAACTAAGAAGAAAGAACAGATACAAATTTTATGTTCCTATAATTTTCGAACTTTGTTGAAATTTATGTTGAATGTTATGTACTTGTAAAGACGGAGGGACGAGCAAAATCGTATGGGTCTGGTTTTCTTTATTTAACCAATATGCTTTTGTTAAAATATTGAAGAAAACCATGCTGCCTTGTGCGGTTAATGAAATGCTGTTCTATGGGTGTTTCAGCAGAATAATGAACAGAAACATACGAGCAGGAAGGCTTCTAATTAATCCGAAGATAAGTTTCTTGCTCTTATGGAGTAGCCTGATAAGGATTTCTGGGGCCGTAGCCAACAAAGGGCAACGGACACGCCACAAAAAATTGCAACTGATTGATATTTTAAAATATAATATTTCACTCATACTTTTTCCATTATATTTTGAAGATGGTTTTCTTTTTTTTAAATTGTTTTAATGACAGATTTTTAATCTCCATCAAAGATAGATTATTCTAATAGTACAGCACTACTATATATGAATATGTATACTTGTAGAACAAAGAATATTAATAATAATACAGTAATAATTCTGCATCAAGTCCTGCATTAACTTAGGCTCTGGCAGATCTGCAATCAAGCGATTAGCCGCTCACCTCTTAGCCAAATGAAGTTGGAGTGCATGCCACATAAATGCGCTTAATGCTTCACATAAAAGTGTCAACAAGAGGTAAGCTTCGAAGGAAGCGCGCCTCGTAGTATAATGGCGGTGGAGCGGCAGGAGGGAAGGCAATGGGGTGGGGTGGAGAGACAAGCGATTTATGCAAGGCGGTAATAAGAATTATGGCGCATAACATTTAACCCATAAGCCAAGAGTTGGGAGACTTGAAGACAAGTGAACTTTTGAATGAATGAATGAATGAAAACGAGACGCTGCAGTTGAGATACAAAAGTATCTATAATCGTCATGTGCATGCAACGCACGAGCGCCGGCTTCGTGTGTGTGCCGACATGCGTGAGCCTGTATCTGTAGCTGTATCTGTCTCTCTGTATGTGTGTGTGTGCGTTTAAATTGCATTTGATGAATTTATGGCATGGCGAGCGTAATTAAGCATTTAATTAAATATTTGTTCGCTGGCTTCTGCTGCTGCTGCTGCTGCTGCTGCTGTTTTCTGCCACTGAGACGCATTGTTGGCAACAGCCTCTTGTTCTTGTTGCCTCAACACGGCAGACAGACAGACAGACATCGTTGCTTAATTGTCTTGCGCGGAATGCCACAGATTAGCGATAAAGTTAAATAGATGCAGCGACCAGCACAGAACAAAGCAGCCAAGCTAAAAACTCAACTGAACTCTTTTTCTGGTTTAGTTGTGGGCGGCAGTTCAATCGATTGGGAAAACAACAATCGTACATGCTCGTCGAGTTATAGGCGTACAGGGTGGCAAATAAAATGTACGATTTAAAGTGGATTTAAGATCAATGAAAACAAAAAGACTTGCCAGTTTTTGTCAAAGCCAGAGTCTGTGAAGAGCAATTGTTTTATTTACGGCCTTTTCCGTGTGAAGAGGTGAGACTCACGATTAATTTTTATTAACAGTTTCTATTATTTTTTGAGTGAATATCTTAATATTGTTTTGAAGTATTATATATGAGTGAACATTGTGGAAATAGTGGAAATTGTTGACTGCTTGAGAAGTGTTCTTCTGAATGTGGAAGGAAATATTATCACTTCTTAGAGATCAATAAAGAAATTAGAGCTTATGTACAAGTTAGGGCTGGGCAGGAGGGTTTTTACGATAATTTTTAAAAATATGTACATGTACTTAGTGTGTTGTTCTAAAGCACTAATTTAAGACAGAGAGAGAGAGAGAGAGAGGGAGGGGGAGAAAGCTGTTCTTAGGACTTTTCATAGTCAACACATCTTTGCTATCACTTGCAACAGCTTCGATAGATTGATTGCTCAAATATTGAAAGTGATTGGGCCTGCATGTTTGAAATTTGTAATTTTCATATTCCGAATGTGTATCTTTGTTGTCAGCACACCACCCTGTACGTGTATAGTTCGCACTAATGAGTGTCAGTCAGTCAGTGAGTCAAAATAAAAGTCAAGCTGTGACAATAGCGAACAATGCCGCCGCTTCAATAC